ATCCAGTTTTACTTGCACTGCATCACCAAATACATCCAGTTTTACTTACCCCTCAGTATTTTTTCCTCTACCAGCCTAATCATTTCCCACTTATGGCAATTACTGTGGCAGAGCCCCTACCAGGCAGCCGTTCACACATGGATAAAAACATCTGCATTTTCATCACTTCAAATCTCTCCAGGTTCTCCAAACTCCATTCCAAAACATATTCCAAAGGGTCAGATAAATCTTTATTGAAACTTATTTTGGGGAGTATTAATTTATTTTTTGGAAAGAAATAAAAGACTTATCTCCTTAATGCTTAAGAGGATCAAGTGTCAAAACAACTGGTATCTCAGTCAAATTGGAAAGTAATCCATTTTCACTAAACACATATTTCATCAAGACTTGGACACAATCTGTTCAAGCAACAGCAAGACATTTAAATCCTTGTGAGAATGGAGAACTAAAATAGGTGGGACCAGATGCATAGCTTTTCTCCAGACTGTACATGAAAAACTGACTTGCATTATAGTGAGTACATGTACCAAAACTAAGTAGGCATTTAGACACCAGCAGCATGAGGATAAGATTAACAGCAGCCACAGCAAGTCTAGTTCTCTTGTTGAATCACTTCTATTTCCTGTCTAATCTGTCTCTAATGTGTCCACAACTGCAATATCTATTACCCCATAAGAGCAATGCTTGGCTAAAAGGGACATTCCTCCTACCTCCAATTATAAACTATTACTTGGCCATCACACATCCATTCCAAGCATTCCTCCTATATTATGTTGAAAATACAGTTTCAGTTCCTACCTCCAAGGATTAGAAGATTAAAGCTTTCTGCCCTAATTGTTTCTATGTATTGATCCTTGGCATATACTAAGAATCAAACGGGAAGAGATTGCTACAACATAGGTAGACCCTACTCATAGGTCAAAAGTCTTACTCTTTTTCTACATCACCAAAGTATATAAATTATCAGATTTGAAAATAAATTGAATGCTGCTAGATCAGTTGTGTCCAAACTAAATTCAGTATTTTATTACTGCCTCATTTGTGCTCTAGGCAACATCCCCTTAACACCCTGAGTTCTGATGCTTTGTATCACCTAATTTGATCAAAGCTTTCACTGCTAAGGCAAGCCAAGAAAAAGCACAAAGCACAATTTGCTCAGAACAAAATGCTGCTGATATTTAAGCGGAAACAAGCATTAAGTTTCAATGCTTCAAAATAATGTGACTGGCTATCCAATTTAGCACATCCCTATTCCAGTTCCTAATACATTATTCTCAGACCACTGGAATCACTGACCTGTTACCAACATTGCTGCTGCAAGGATATTATTAGAGAATGCCCTTGTCTGTTAACAGTCCTGTATCTTCTACTTTGAATTCCAGACTTTGGGGCTTGGGATTTTTTAATTATTTATGGGGGGGTTTTCTCCCTAGGATAACCTTGCAAGCATGTGCATCCTGCTAGCTTCAGTCTTGGGGGAAGAACAGTCACACACCATCACCCTTAGTGCAATCAAAAGGAAAGAAGAAAAGACCAGCAAGGCAGCTAATTTTATACCAAGGCAGCACCTCTCCAAGAAGCATCACAACTACTGTGCTTTAAAACAGGGAGCACTTGAGCAGCAAGAAAAGCTCCAGAATCCTTTCCTATGAAGAAAATGCTTCGAGTTTTGTAAAGTTTTTTATTCACATCAACTATGCTTGAGTAAAGAAAGGCAAACTTGCAGAACAGTCCTTGCTGGATGTTAGATTAGATCATGGATAAACTACTGTACAGCAAGGCAGGAGCCAATTTTAGTCTATCCCACTGTCATTTAATCTCACTGCAGATCATTTGCAGGAACTCTGAGATCATGGAGACCTTCTTCACAGACCACATACCTTACACCAGTTATATTAAGCATACTCACTCTTATTGCTGTGTTTACTGTGGGAGTAACCAGGCTGTAGCAGTTTTCACTGTTATATATTAAATATTGAATGATGAAGCTTAAATGCTGCCCCTGCCTGAACTAGCTGAATTTACCCTGAAACATCATCTGTTAAGTGCAGTCTATCTGAAAGTCAGAGCTAAGCACAACTTCACTTGACATCTAACAACCACATGACTAAGCAGCAATTTCCTGCAGAACTTGCATTTCCTCACAAAGTCTGCAATTCAGAGGGAAATCAGCACACAGCTTGGCCCATTGAAGCACTGAAGCCAGTACAACACTCAATCCAACCACCTCTTCATTACATGAAATACTGTTCCCAGATATTAAAGAAATCAAGTCCAGAAGCCAGCTGCATCTAATTTTTCAGTACCCAGAATATCCAACTTAGTTCTTTACCTTCCATACCAAGTGTTTTCCTGTTCTTCAATATATTTCAAGATAGTTTGATTTACAGCACCAAGAAGGAAAGAAGCACAAGTCATGAAAAAAGATTTTTACTTGCATTTTACTATTGTTGAGTATTACAAGACAGTTGTTTATTTTACACATTAAAGTGCCAAGTTTATGTACAAACTATTAAAACAATAGTAAAAAAGGTAAACTTAAAACCTGCTAAGAAAGCAGTGAGATCATGTAGTTGCCTCCAGAATTTTCTACAGACTATTTGACAAATTTACAACAGTTCCTTTGTTTATGAGAACAGAAGCCAGGGGTCAGTGCCCACAACCTCCCATCTTGCAGAATGAAGTGTCTGTATCTTTCATGAAATGGAATAGCATGTACTGTAAGATACATCTAAACATTCTATGCACTAACACCATTGGCAAAGTCTAAAAGGGATTTTACTGTTGGAGCTACACCAGCCTCCTAAAATATACCAATATCACCATACTTTACAAGAATGGGATTTTAGTACTGAAATCAAGTCACACTGTGACTCAATATATTGAATGATTCCCTGCAAACAGGGTGTTATGTACATTAATGCATATGGTCTCAGTTCATTTAAAATTCTGCATCCAGGGTGAAAGAGTTGTCTGTGGGCTTTGACATGACTCCCATCCTCTGATATTCACCTACTCGCTTCTCAAAGAAATTGGTCTTGCCTTCCAAAGAGATGTTCTCCATGAAGTCAAAAGGATTCTCTGCTTTGTATATCTGAAACACAGAAGCAATTCTATAGTCACTGCTGATGCTCACATCTTGAGCATGCAAGAGCATTACAGACCAGCTGGAAGGAGTCTAATGGCAGCATCAACAAGCTCACTATGTAGTAAACAAAAATCTCTGCCCCAAGCCTTCTCTACCATATTTGTTCCTGTGTTTTAGCTGCAGCTGACAGAAGCACAGCTACTCATAACACTCTTTTTCCATAGCACCCTTTTGCTCTTCCTTCTGTGGGTCTCCACATAGGACCTAGCAGCAGGACTGCTCAATGATTTTACAAGTTAAACTAATATTGCTGCAGCCAATTTGGATTTCTGAAGGAAATTAAACTTAATATTACCTTTCCCCCATGAAATATTCTGTGTATTATGGATTAGAGCATTACCTTGTTAAATCCCAGTTCCAACATCAGCCGGTCTGCCACAAACTCTATGTACTGTTTCATTAAAGTGCAGTTCATGCCGATCAGCTTCACAGGCAGTGCCTCCGTCAAGAATTCCTGCAGATAACAAGCATTTCACATACAGCACTGGCATGTACTCTGCGCTAGCCAAGTTAATTTTATGCCCAACAGCTTTCCAGCTTTGTTTAATTGCAATCAAGTTTCTAAACAAGGGGCAGACAATTACCTGCTCTATGAGAACAGCATTCATGATGATTTCCCTTACTCTCTCCTCTGACGGTTTGTGTATCAAGTGCTTGAACATGAGGCAGGCAAAATCACAGTGCAAACCCTGGAAGGAAGTTTCAGAAAATTATTTCAGGAACAGAGTAAGTGGCATCACCTTTGCCCTTGCCACATTATTTAGTGTTCCCCACAGACAACTTTCTGCCTCACCAGAAGGCATCACACGAGCAAGTTCAACCAGTATGAGCTGCACCTGCTCAGGTGCAACAACTGCAAGAGTTGGTGAGAACACCTAAACTACTTTAGAGGAAGTAAAATGTCAAGTTCATTCATTCCCTGCTGCAAGATTGACAATGACACGTTTGCACACTTCAGTGAGCCTTACTGTTTGTAAATATACTCCAGTTGAGTATCATTCCTTTGAGATATTGTGGCACATTACGATCTTAAACTGCTAGAATTTGACTCATACCTCATCTCTACTGATGAGTTCATTAGAAAAAGTGAGTCCAGGCATTAATCCTCTTTTCTTCAGCCAAAAAATTGATGCAAACGAGCCAGAAAAGAAGATTCCTTCCACAGCTGCAAAAGCTACTACACGTTCTCCTGTTAAGAGAAGATTGATAGCAATATTTACTCACAGAAAACTTAGCAGGATTAATAAATACCCAGAAGTTGCAAATAGACCAATGAACTGCATCCTGCAAGGTGAATGAATTTGCTTCTGCTTAAGTGAGCTATGGCCTGTCCTAAAAACTATTACAGTAAGGATTTCTAGTCATTAAACAAAACAAATATGAGTGGAAGTAAGAACTAAACAGAGTGGCTACTAAGTAGCTGAAGCCAAGGCTCCTTCCCCCTGGGTTAACCATCAATATCACCCTTTTCCAGACAGCTCACTGAAAAAGCAGTCATTTTGGCAGCTGATTTAAGCCAGTGTCTGTTCATCTTTGACTAAGTAAGGAACCTTGGCCATGAAGAATGCTTTAATGCTAGTGAAATAATGATCTGTACCATCTCATCTCACCTTTCAAGTAAGACAGCAGCAATTAGCAAGGCTAAGGAGCTACAGCCTCCAACCAGACACATCTGCTGGCTACAGATGGCCAGTGCAGTTCTAGATGTAACAGCAATTTACAATTTGATCATATAGTCAGGCATATGATGATTGCCACGTGACCTTACTAATCACAATGCCAGCAATTTTACAAAAATTCCTGTCAGTAGCTCATTTGAAGATGAAGTAGTTTCTTCATTTCCAGAATTTTATCGCTATCTTATACTGGAGAGCATGGACTCTCCCTGTGACAACAATAATCCATCCCTATGAATTGTGAAGTCTGGAGAAACGGTGGTTCCTCCATCTTTAGGGAAGGAATTTCACTTTGCTTCCAATAGATGAACTCACCATATGTTGCTTTCTTGTCCCCAATCCAGCACATGGCCCAGTCAGCCTTCTTTTTAACACATGGTAATGTTTCAATAGCATTAAAAAGAAATTCCCTGAGAAAGATAAAACTCATTAGGATGGACATAGGCACAACCAGTAGAATCAGCATTCACTGCCATGAACAATCTGATCACTCAAACATTCTCTGCACCTTCATCCTCCTCCTTCCCCATCTTACTTGGCACAAATCTAGCTTTATTTGATCCAATTAACTACCTTTTCTTCACCTACCCATCACATCAACACCAGTTCACGTGAATTCCCGTGACCATATCAAGGGGAGACTGTTTCACACTGTTGCACTTGAATGAAGCTTTCAAAAACTACAGATTAACCAGGCTCCACTTTCCAGTGTCAAGGCACCAGGCCTCTCATGCAAGGAATTCTTGCTGGAATTTAGCATCTCAAGAGTAGAAATGACATGGCCAAATTTTCAAGTAGTAGCAATATATCTAAACTGCAAATAGTACTGCAATACCACATGACATTGGTGTTGATGTCATGTCATCAACACACGACAGGGTGCTGATTTGACAACACCAGAACAACAGCCTGGACTGCTCCAAACTATTAGTCTTAAGACACAATTTTTTAATTGAGTAATCTCATTATAAAAATTTTACAGTATCATTTTACTTGTAATCAAGACCAAAGGCTACTCTTCAGCAAATGCAACATGCCTTTCTTCCCCCAAGCAAAATAGTGTGGTAAGAGCAGCACTTGTTATGTTTAAGTGTTTAGCTGTTCAATAAATGCACTGAGGTTTAGAAATAATATTTTAATAGAAGGGATAGCATTCTCAGAGAAACTTTCCTACATAGCTACCTACTAGGTGCAGGGGTCCTCCACATGAGCACTTACTGTAGTTTAACATACTCCCCTTATTTGAATGCTCCACCTTTAACGTAGTTTCATTCCTACATTTCAGTATTGAGTGGTTTCAGTTTCGCTCTTAACCTAAGCATGTTCTTGCACTTGAGACTAAAAAGATATTCTGAAGTAAAACTGCTCTTAAGCAGCAGTGGTATTTTATATAAGTCTAGTTTACACCCTAAAATTAGCCTGAAAGTCAGAGAACGACTGATACGCAGCATTTAAATCTGAATATTTAGCAAGTTTTGAACTTTTCATCATCAAGCAACACAAACCTCTCTCTAGAATCCTTAATGTAGGTGTCAATAAGAAGACTGTACATTTCTGAATGTATATTTTCCATGGCAATCTGGAAGCCATAGAAACAACGAGCTTCTGTGACTTGTACTTCTTGACTGAACCGCTCCACCTAGAGGAAATAAATGAGTGTTTGCATAAGCATTTATAAGCTGCAGGTTTGAGGCACTGATGCTGTGTAGACCAGTTCTTGGTTAGCTCACAAAACCTTCAGATTAATTCCAGACATGTGGATCATTAACAGTAATATGCAGAGCAGTAACCCCTCACAGCTCCAAGTTGTGAGGCATTCTTTGGTCCCAAGAGAAATGGAAAAATGTCTTTGTTTTACTTATCCCTTACTAGGGAGAAGAGCACTGAGAGGGTGGAAGCAGAACACGGGCTCTGAACCAGGCAAGTGTTACTGTAAGGCAGCACTCAGGGCCCCATGGGGAGTGGGCAAACTCCTGGATTACAAAACCAACTCCAATTTGCAAATTAACATAGGACAGCACTATATATCATAATGCTGTGACACTCCCATGATCCAGCAAACGACCTGGATCACCCAGAGCAAGTGCTGAACATGGAGTTATCTGGTTATCTTCCCAAAGTGGTATTCCTGTCAGGACTGTTTCTGTACACTCACCAAGTTCTCATTGACAATGCCATCACTGGCAGCAAAGAAGGCAAGGACGTGAGAAATGAAGTACTTCTCCTCAGGCTTCAGGGACTCCCAGTGCTGGATGTCTTTGGAAAGGTCCACCTAAGACATTGCCAGGAGAGATAAGAAACGGTGCCTCAGGGGGGAGGCCGGACCCGAGTGCCGGGGCCGCCCCGCGCTCCGCCCCGGGGCTGCAGGCGGGAGCGGCCGTGTCCGCCCGCCCCTCACCTCCTCCGCTGTCCAGAAGGAGGCCTCGGCCTTCTTGTACATCTGCCAGATGTCGTGGTACTGGATTGGGAAGATGACGAACCGGCGGGGGTTCTCCCGCAGCAGCGGCTCCTCCTCCTCCGCACCCCGCGGCACCTGGAGCGGCGAGAGAGCGGCTCGGGCTCGGCTCGGGGCTGCTCCGGGGGCCTGGGGCGGAGCAGGACTTGGGAGGGAAACTGAGGGCGGCAGCCTCTGAGGAGACCCCCGTGAGGGAGAGGGAAAGGGCAGGGGAAGAGACCCCCGTGAGGGAGAAGGAGGAGGGGGAGGGGAAGAGACCCCCGTGAGGGAGAGGGAAAGGAGGGGAAAGAGACCCCTGTGAGGGAGAGGGAAAGAGGAGGGAAAGAGACTCCTGTGAGGGAGAGGGAAAGGAGTGGAAAGAGACCCCTGTGAGGGAGGGGGAAAGGGAGGTGCAGCCCCCGGCGGGGACAGAACCTGAGATTAGCTCAACTGGTTAGATCGTGGTGCTGATAACACCGAGGTTGTGGGTTCGATCCCCGTATTTATTTAAAGAGCTAGACTTGATGATCCTTTGTGTTCCTTCCAACTCAAAACATTCGGTGTAATTTCTGACATCTCCGAGAAAGGAGAAACCACCGACTGGAAGTGAGAGCGGAGCAGGGGTTGCAGGAGCCCCCGGGCAAGGGGAGAAGGGCGGGCGCGGTGCCGTGCCCGGGCGTTCCACACTCACCGCTTTCCAGTCGCCCTCCTGGAAGATCTTGCGGGCCGTCTTGCTGGCCAGGACGCGGGCGCTGCTGAGCGCGGGGGGCTGCAGGGAGAGAGGGGCAGGGTGAGCGCGCTGCGGCGCTACCGGGCGGGGACAGCGGGAGGGCAGGCGGGAGCTCACCGTGTTCTCCTTGTCGCTCAGCGCCAGGCCCTTCATGGGCGACAGGCTCTTCACAGGAGACTGGCCCTTCTTGGGCGACAGCTGGGGCTGGTCGTGGCGGGCGGCGAGCGGGGCGCGGGCGGACAGCATGGCTGAGGATGAGGGTGAAGCAGCCGCAGCAGTGGCGGGATGAGCGGCAGGAAATAGAATTTCTCGCGCCGCCCCTTTATATCCCCTTCGAACTTGGCGCCAGAACGGCAGGATGGCCAATCACAGCCTTCGTAACGCCCACCACAGCCCGCCCCCACGCTCCCATTGGCTGGCAAGCCGGGCGGGGCCCCGCCCTTCTTTGTGCCGGCCGTGGCGGGAGGAAGAGACCCGCCCTCCGCTTTGGCGCCAGCGGCGCGCGGAAAAGGCGGGAGAGAGCGCGAGGAGGCCCCGCCCCCTCTCCCCGTCCCCTCGCGCTTGGGAAGAGAGGTCCGGATGTGAGTTCTGCGTCTCGCAGTTTGGGAATGATTCGGGGGCTTTCGCAAAATCCAAAACTCATTTCCGGATACGGGAACAGCTATAACCTGGTTTTGGGGTGCAGGTCTTGGAAATATCACGTTGTCCCTGCCTCTACCTTGCTCTCCCCTTTTCTCTGGTCCCTCCTACCTACCTATTCATACTCGCTTTCAACACTGATCCCTGCGTTTGGATACATACAGATGCCACAGTCCTACATTTGGAGGTAGAAATTGGCTTCCTGGAGAAACTGACTCCGTGTGCCACCTGGTTCCACGTTTTAAATAAATAGCACAGGGAAGGGAGAACACAGGTATGAAGAAGAGGGAAATATTCACAATCTTTAAAAAGTCAGCATTTATTTCATATTAATTAATTTGCCTTTTTTGAACAACATAGTTTTCCTCATCCAACTCCACAAACGATCTGTTTCTGTCAACTAAAATGTTTTCCCTGAAGCAATTTTAATGAAACCGGGAGCTCCATGAGACTTGGAGGCTCTTCTGTTATGTGGGGTGTACGGTGGCCTTGGATGAGTCCGAGTGGTCACTGTCATCTGATCATACGAGTTATTTGTCCCAGCTTTGCACTGTGCTTGGCTGGAAGAGAGGAGCAGGAGAGCAGCAGAACTGTATAATGGTACTGTGTTAAATTTACTGCTGTAATGAGTGGATTTGGAAGAAAAATGAGAGTACTCCCCTCCACCATCACTTTTAACACTGTAAATTCAAATTGATTATTTATTCATTTCAGCAGGTCAATGTCAAGGTCACAAATTTGGCTCTAAGCTCTCCTCAGCTGCAACTTATCAGAAATGGCCAAAATTTCTGAGAGAGAGATTAGACTTATGACTTTTATTGGTCCTATTTAGGACCTTCGACTAGTGCAGGCCCCCACTCAGGAGATGTTCTGTGGGACCTTCTGTGCTGAATATACATCCCAATATACATATCTAAATACACATCTCCATCTCTGGAGAGTGAGAACCACAAAACCCCATCCTAGTAGGCAGCCTGAACAGGCACAGACATGATCCTGCTCTGTCCCAGGAAGCAGAGGCTAGGGGCAGGAACACCAGGCAGCTCCCAAACAGCTCACCAGTGTCCATGTAACACCCTCTTATCTCATGCCACCTCTACAGCTGCTAGGAGAGTTGTCAGAGAGCTGCAGCAGCACCCTCCCCACCCCAGCCAAACTCATTTATCCTCCCACCCCAATAAAGGACCCCAGAGCCACCACCCTAGGCTGTGGCCAAGGGCTGTCACATTGCAAGGGCTGTGCTATCTCTGTGGTTCAGCTGCTGTTCCCAGAAGCCCAGAGCAGGGGATCAAAGCCCTGCCCCGGGGACAATGGCTCTGCAAGGAGAGAAACACCAGGGAGAGCATGGAGAGGGTCTGTGAGGAAGCATTTTGCAACTCTGTACTGCTGGTTTTCGGAAATGAGTGTCCACGCTGAATTTTCTTATTGCAGCAGTTTAATTCAATTGCATTTGTTCCTCCTTCATGTGCATCCTCCACCACGATGCAACTGCCTTTAGGACTAGCAACTTCTTTGCCAGAGCTGGGTTCAAGGCAGTAGGCTGCTGCCCTGCTTTGAGGTACTCAGCATCTCACCAGGGTTGCCAGCTGGCTTGTGCCCTCTCTTTGGTTGTGTGAAAGGATGTTCTGCTCTCATGACTTCTGGCCACTACTTCTGAGTAGTGTGTTTATAAAAAAAGCAACCCCAAACTTGAGTTAATTTCTCACCTTCTTTGTTCACAGGAATTCAAACACTCAGGTGGAAGTAAGAGCAGCCTGGGGCAGTTGGGTGAGGCAGGCAGGTGTGGGGTGTTGTGCAATCAACTGTTTACACGTTTCTCTCCAGACTGCCTACCCTTGTGTCCCAGCACCCACCTCCACCCAGGCTCTGAAATCAGCTGCAGATGGAGCTCTGCAACATCCTCTGTCCCAGGTACTGCTGTTGTGGTACAAAAACCTCAGTGCCAGCATGGCAAAGCTCCTTCCCACCAGGCACAGCTCACAGCCCCCAGATCTCATGTCCCCATCACACCTCTGCTTCATCCTGGTGGTATTGTCTTGGCTCTCAGCTGGCCGACCTGCTGGCCTTGGGTAATGGTCAGGGCAGTGTTGTCCTTGTTCAGATGGTTGGTTTTCTTCCATTTTAATACAGATTGCCTACAGGACAGATAGACAGTGACTCCAGGTCACTGACTGCCTCCCACCACTGCAGCAACTGGTGTGATGAAAGTCAGCGAGGATAACTGACTCATCACTAGCTGAGGACTCAGTGTTTGCTGGTGCTTTTCCCCTAATTTGAAGAAGGTGACTTGTTTGTTTGGCCTCATCCAGCCACATTCATCCATACCAAACCCTGAAATCCTCACCCACTGCTCAGTCTGACAGTGTTGATATTTGCATCATGCTGAAGGTTCCCTGCTTAGGCCTGAGTTCCATATGCAGCAAGAAGAAATCTAAATACTCTAAATATAAGCTGAGACAGGGTAGGTGAGCAGGAGGAGGCCATCAGCCAACATGGTGGTAAGCAGTGGTCTCAACAACCTCCGCTTTCTCCAGTAGGTTTGGAGGTAGCCCTCAGCATTTCCTCGCATGCTCACCCAGCTGTGCTGAGGAGAAGGATGCTCTGCGTCCCTCCAGAACTTAGACCAAAACTTCAACAATTTGAATGAAAAATTTGCCCCAATATCTTCCTTCCCGCTTTAGAGGTGGTTACCCTCCACTTATTGCAAGATTTATAACTGCGAAAACAGAGCTGCAGGGCCCTACCTGTTGAGCCAAAGTGCTTTAACAGGCTGTTTCACTGAGAAATCTAGAGCAGAACAAAACAAATATTTATTAGCATGATTCTAGCAGGATATCACATTTCCCAATGCAGCCCATTAATTTGCAGGTCTGAGAGCACCATCATTACTCACCTGCTTACCTGATGATCAGCCTCTCTGGAGATAACAAGTGGCTGTTGGAAAGCAAAGCCCTCACATGGTTGGCATCCCCCTGTCTTTAATTTTTTAAAACTGCATTTCTTGCCTTTCAAGGTCCTTACCCAATATTTAAAACTCTCAGGACAAAATCTGCAGGTAATATATGACCACATATGGCATTATAATGGTGTAACTGGATGTGTTTCTTTGCTGTTCATGAAACCGGGCACAATGCTGCAGACACAGGCCCACAAGTGCCAGGTGGATGATCCAGCATTAAAAGACTTTCAAGAACTGAAAAAATGAAGCTTTCCAATCAGCTGCACTTGCTGGTCATCAGCAGTCAGTAATACAGAAGAGCACCACTGATTTTAGTATCTTCCTCAGGATCTATGAGCATGTTGTGGAGCTGGAGTAGCAATTTCCAAAACTGCATTCATACCTGGGCTCAAGAAGGTTGTCACTCTTCCTTGCTGCTGGAACCACCTTCTTGTTTCCTGCAGCAGAAGAAGGCAATGGCTCCACCGTTTACTTGCCTCAAGCAGGTTTTGGTCTCAGTTCCTGTGCCCTGGTTCTGGAGGCTGTGGCTGATCTCCTGTCACATATGGGCAGTTCCAGCTCTAGCAGCCTGTCAGTCACCACAGAACAGTGAAGTTTCCTGGGGGTTACATTCCTCAGCACTTACTCATCCAAAACTGCCTGTTCAAGGCTGCAGGCCCAGGTCCTTCATTTCGGGACAGGCCCATTGTTTATGTGGAGCAGGGCTCTTACACAGCAGCATTTCTGGGGCATCTCCTCATTGCTACAGCAGACACACAGCAGACATGCAGCTGCCCTTTCCCTCTTGGTCCAGAAAACAACCTTGCCATCTTAGCAAAGCAGCCAGGGCACCCATGTACTTCTGAATGGTTCCAAAGAAAACCACCCTCAAAACATGAAAGACAATAACTGAAGAGACAAAGACAAGACTGCAAATCATTTTTCTTAACTTGGGCAGCAGTGGACAGTTTGGTTATCACCCAGACCTTACTTATCTACAGGGAAGTCCTATGTATCCTAGATCCCTGCTCTGTCTGCTCTCAGTGACCTTTTTTTCCCCAGCAGAGATTTTTTTTAACCTCTGGAAAATGCACATTATCTTCAACTAAGTGGACACCTCCTACCACCAGACTTCCTGGTGTACCCTGGCATTCCTACCCCAGGAAATCACCTAGTCAAGACTGGCATGAAAGGACTGAGAAAGGATCCTGCCTCCCACCTTTGGGATAGTACAACATTTTGGCCCCGTTCTGCTCCAGATGCCCATAACATCTACACTCATCCAGCAGGGCAGAGAAAACAGGGAGACTTATCATTGCACATTTTTTGGTGCCTGGTGTCTGCCAGACACTTCTCTGCAGGTTCAGTATTTGTCAGGGTTCAATTACAATTAAGCCAAAGAAGGGACTGGCAAAAGCAGGCTGCTTCCATGCCCTGTCCTATTGCTCTGCCAGGGCAAGTTTCATTGTGGGATCTGGCAGTGACCCTGTGGTGATAGGACACGGTGCAAGGTACTGTTTACATGGTCAGCCCCTGTGCACAAAAAGGCAGCAGTAGAAAAGATCCCAAATACATTCAAGAAAGTGAAAGATGAGTTAGGAATACGCCTACATATGAAGGAAGTAATTGGCCCTAGGAGCTGTAACCAGGGGGAAAAAGAGGTATAATGGAAATTAGAAAAATCCAGAGGCAAGTGTCTGCAGCACTCAGGGAACCATGAAAACACAGAAAAGTGGGTTTGTGTTGAACATGTATTCAAAGGTGAATAAATTGATGCAAGTCTGATATT